ATGGGAAAACTGAGGCACAGAGAGGTTTAGTAGCTCACCCAAGACGCACAGCTAGTAACTGGTGGGGCTGAGGTCAGAGCCCAGAGTCTGACTCCCATCTCTGCTCTAGCGACACTCTCTACACAAACCTGGCCCGTGGCCTTCTCCTGGCTCCTTTATATTTATTATACTGAATTTCAGAAGCAATTGTAAAAATCAAGTAAAATTTTACTCAAAATGGCTTGGGAATGCCATTTACCTGCACTGCCTATGTGACCGCAGAATCAGTCAGATCAGGTACCTTAAATCCTGCCTCTTCCAGGAGGCCATCTATCACAAGGACAACGAGAGGCTGAACCAGAGCAGGGCTTTCCAACCCTGGCTCTGCCTCAGCCATCTGGGAGGCTCCCTAAAGACAGGTTCTAAGCAAAGAATATAAGCAAAGGGCAAAGGATATAAACAGACAGTTCACAGAAGCAGTAATACAACTGTAGGCTCTTAAACCTGATAAAAAGATACTCAATGCCATTCATAATAAGAGAAATGCAGATTAAAACTAGACTGAGATACCATTCTTCCCCTATTACACTGGCAAAAATTCAAAGTTTGATGACACACTCTGCTGGCAAGACTACAGGTAAAAAGACACTGATATCTTGCTGGAGGGAGGGTAAATTGGAAAACCTCCTCTGAACAGTGATTTGGCTATATATCAAAATTACAAATGCTTATAACCTTCATGCAAGCAATTACTCTTCCTGGGAATTTAGCCTACAGACTAGCAAAAGTGTGAGATGATGTACGCACAGGGCTAATTATTATAGAATTGTCTGTCACATCAAAAGATTGAAAACAACCCAATATCCACGAATAGGAGACAGGTGTTTTTTTTAAAGTGTGGTCTATTTATACAATGAAATGCTATGTATGGTAAAAAAGAAAAAGGAAACGCTCTATTCTCTAAATTGGAAAAATCTCCAAGATACTTTGTTTAGGCAAAAAAGGCAAGGTGCAGAACACCACACCTCTTCTGAGGGCTGGGGTGGGGAGGGGGGTGTGATTAAAATACACATTTCTATTTGCTTACATATATACAAAGAAACTCTGAAAGGATTCACACAAAATGATCACTCTCATACATTGCTGGTAGAAGTATAATGGTACAAGTGAACTTGGAAACAATTTGTCAAGACCTAGCAATGCTGAAGATGTGCACATTCTAAACCCAGCCATTCCAATGTAAGGTCTCCATCCCAGAGAAACGATGACACCTGAGGCACATGAGTATGCTCACAGAAACACTGCCCACGACTGTGAGAGAGCGTGAACGCTCTAAATGGCCGTCAACAGGAGAACAGACTTAAAAACACTGAGTTGGAAAAGCAGCTGCAGGACACACGCAGTGTGGAGCCATGCACGTGGGAATTTAAAACATGAAAAACGGTGCATCATTTTTCACTTATGAGGACATAACATATGTAAGAAAAAGCATTTTTTTAAAGCATATCTAGATAATAATAAAGACCAAATTCAGGATAAAATTTGCCTTTGAGAAGGAAGAGAGAATTAAATAGGGGAGACAGGTTTTAATTACATCTGTAGCATTTTAGATCTTGAAAAGAATAAAAGATACAAAGTGAAAAAAAAAAAAGATTCTCAGGTCCTCAATGAATCTGAATCATTGGGAATCTATGTTTTTAAATCTCCAGGTGATTCTGATAAGGCAGACGATCTAACGACAGTATCTGGAAGAAGCTAAACTAGACCATCTCAGGTCTCTACTCGTTTTAAAAAATTAAAATTCTATAACTGATTCACTAAAATTAGCTTTGTCATCCGACTTTCATTTCTAGTCAAGAGTTCTTAGGTTCTCGTATTGTAAGGTAGAGAAAGTAAAGCACAAACATTCAATAGAGTAATTAATCAATTTAAACTCTTTGGAAGAAGATAATTTACCATGTATTATTTACTTCCCTTTTAAGGACTATCAGCAAATGCTTAAAAAAAAAAAATCATGCAGTTAAGCTTCCACTGACAAATAGAGTCATCATTCTATAATTAGCTAAGTGCCTCTGATCTGTAAGTTTCTCATATCTGGTGAAAAAGATGTAAGATTATTTCACTCCATCAACATCTGACATCTTGAAAAAATTTTGTCTTTGTCTATTTGTGAGCTGCAGCTCAATGCCATTTCCCAATGAAACAGTAAAGTCCAGTGACACTCTAGATGACTTCATGTTAGACCAATGGTATTAATAAGGGAGCTGTTCTTTAGTATGCATGAAATACTCGATAAACTGTAAGAATAGAGGGAAAAGAGAAGAAAGCTTAGGTTTCAGAGTGGCCTTTCTTGGTTTTCCACTAGGGACAGGTAAACACAAGAATGCAGAAGGATGGGTACAGGTAACCAAGAATGGGGCCAGGAGAAGGAAACAGAACCACGAAGAAAGCTCCTCGCTTATCTCATCATTCTTTCCCTCCTTACTGAACGGATGGTGCTAAGATCATAGAAGTGAGAAATAAAAGAGAAAATGGCAAATTGTCAGATGGCCCAGCAGAATGAAAACGACATGCGAAGCGGGAACATCTGAGGTCGAGTCCTGGCTCTATCACTCACTGATCTCTGCACCACCCGGCCTGCCTGAGCCTCGGTCTCTCACCTGTGAAATGAAACTGCTAATGATAACACCTTTCTCAGGCAGCTGTTTTGAGGATTAAGAGATAAGCATGGTGGAAAAGTACTTTGGTAATAGTGGTGGTTGATATGTAACGTATTCCAGTTTTGTCTGGAAGGCTAAAGCAAACTCAGCAGCAGAAATTCCTGATCGTAGGATTCCTATTAAAGAAAGAAATGCTCTGCTCAATCTCTCAGGTTACAGATATGAGAAAAGCCACACTGAGGCATTCTGACCAGCTGACAGACACATCATGCTTATCATCATAGTCTGCCCTTTATATTTTCCTGGGGAATAAGAGGAAGTGAGGCTCAAGGTTTAATGGACACTTGCACATTGTAAGAACCATTGGTATAAAACATTTCATCAGGTTTTCCCACCTCCTCCCAACCCTCTTTTCAAAGTAGGTACTAGCAAGCAATGATGGACTAGATGGTTTGGATTAATCTGCCTGATAAAGACAATTAGGGAAGTAACATAAAATGTACACATCTTCCCAAGAGCATGGAAGAGCTTATTATCACAGTGAGGAATTACTGGGCCATGATCCAGAGAAGATGGAAATCCAGAGAGGTAGCCTGGCAGCTGGGACTGCCTTTGCCCCCCCAGAGGAGGCAGCTGAGAGGCCAGGCAGCACCTCTGACAGCTCCAGGGGACTAGCCATCAAAAGTTGGAGTCCAGGGCATGCCAAGAATGAGGTCTCTGACAAAACACCCACAATTAGGATTCGAACCCCAAGGAATATATCTTGGAGTAAGAGTGAAATAAACATAAACTTGCCCTCGAATGGACTGCAGGCTGACTTTGAGTTACCTGAGTGGCTCTGAAATCTCAAGCCCTGAAATCAGATTAAACTGATTTTGGAGACCTAATGCCCCCCAAGCACGTGGCAGAGGCAAATGAAAATGCTCTCTGATAGAGGAAAGCGCAGTGCTGAGGACCAAATTACTCCTACAGGGACAACTGGATAGCCACATCAAAAAGAATGAAATTGGACCCTTACCTCACACTACATGCAAAAATTAAATCAAAATGGATCACAGACTAAATTTAAGGGCTAACACTATAAAACTATTAGAAAACATAAGGGTAAGTCTTCAAGACCTTGGATTAAGCAAGGGTTTCTTAGATATGACACAAAAAGCAACAAAAAGTAACGAAGCACTGACACATGCTACAATGTGGATGAACCTGAAAACATTATGCTCAGTGACAGAAGTCAGACCACATAGTATATGACTGCATTTATACGAAACGTTGACAACAGGTAAATCTATAGAGACAGAAAGCAGATGGGTGGTTGTTGGGGGCTAGGAGTGGGGGTAAGGGTGCGGCAGTGACTGTTAGCATAGTGAGCATAGCGTTTCTCTTTGAGGTGATGAAAATTTTCTGAAATTAGTTTGTGGTGATGGTTGTACAACTTTGAATGTACTAAAAACTACTGAATCATACAAGGTGAATTGTATGGTATATCAATTATACCTCAATAAAGCTGTTATAAAAAAATTGTTGAAATAATTTTTTTCCCAATGTAATGAGCAGCATGACCATCAGATAACCTGGCATGCAAGAAGACGAAGTGACACGAACAAGAACAAGCACAACGATAGACGACAGAAGCCGGCCCAGCAAACTCCACCAAAACCAGCATCCAAACAACCACACCTGTTATGTGCTCCTATGGAGATAAAAACCAAACACACATTCCCAAAAGAAACAACTAGAAATTCCAGACCTGAAAACTACCGTCACCAAAATTAAGAACTCAGTGATCAGGAACAAATTAAACAGCAGATTAGACACAGCTACAGATAGAAATAGAGAGCTGGAAAGTAACAAGAAAAAATTAACCAGACTCAAGAAAAAAAAAAGGATAGTAAATACAAACATAAGTAGTAGAATATAGTGAAAACATCTAACATATATTTAAATAAAGATGGGAGGAGGGGAGGAAACAGGGCAAAGTTATATTTTAAGAGAAATGGCTGAAAATTTTTTCCAAAACTTAGAAAGACAACAATCCACAGATTTAAGCAGCCAAGGGAATCCCAAGCAAAAGAAATAAAACAGAATCTACATCTAGACACAATAAAGTGAAACTAGAAAATCAAAGCAAAAGAGAAAGTTCTATAAGCAGCCTGCAAATGGGAGGCAGATTGCCTTTTGAAGGTGAGAGTTAACAGCGATCGATCTTGAAGTAATGAGAGTATTCCGCTATCAAAGACAAAACTATTCAGGTTAATCCATGTTTGCCTATGCTTGAAGAAAATACAAATTAAAACAAAAACAGATCTCAGAAAGAGGCCTGGCAATAAAAAAGGCTCAGAAACAGAACCAACCACTTACCTTCAGCCACTGTTCGGCCTGCTCCTTACTCTGGACTGCAAGAACAAGTGGGTCTGTGCCTTGCTGAGTAATTTTCAACTCGTGTTTCTTCTTTTTGCTGTCTTTTGGGATATATGTAATGTTGCAGCCTTGGAGTGGTAGTTCCATCTGAGGCTGCTGGTCCTTGGAACTTTTATAGCACTGCATTTAACGTGACAAAACAAAGTTGGTTATAAGGAAGTTCAAACAGAAACATCGATAAAACTCCAGAATAATGAAAACAGGAAAGTTGGCAAGGCACCTGGCGGTCTGCTTGAATAGTGAAGATGCTCAGAGATGGGAAAACGGGTCCACAGACACTCAGGTATCATGCACAAAGAGCACCACTCTACATGGACACTCCACCTCCACATACGCGAAAATACCTCTAATCAATTAATCGAGCAAAGTTTACTGAGCATCTGTGACACGACTGAGCAGGAAACAAAAAGCCCTACTCTGATGGAGCTTATGTTCTAGTGGAACGTCTTCATTAAGTTACAGGAATATAATAGACTAGATCTGATGAAACAGCACCACCCTAATGGGCGCAGACAACGATTTGGATACTTTATTCTACAACCTATGTCATTTGGTATCTGCCTATCTCATCTCTACCCTCTTTCTGATAGACAGATGAATGATTTTACTAAGAGTATAAATATCAACACATAATATACAAAAACACCTGCCTGCAAAGGTTCAGTAGAGGATCCAAAACTCATGCTGTTTCATTTGCACAACTGGCATTCACTCTAAAGATTTCAATGCTACGGTTCTTGCTTAATCTAGGTCTGTAAAACCTAGAATCAAATCTTTGTCCAGAGATTTCCCTCACCTCCTTTGGTTTAATTGCATTACTCGGGACCAAAATCACACCTTCTAATGGAAATGCACAGTCTAAGAGTTCAAATAGCTGGGTCCTAGCTCTGTTACTAATTTAATCTGGGTTCCGGGAAGTTTCTTAAGCTTTCTGAGACTGTTTCCTCATTTGTAAAATAGTTATTGCTGTTATTTTATTGAATTACATTGAACTATTAGTAACAATAACATCTGCTAGGAAGTATTGAGTGTCAACATTATATGAGGCATTTCGTACATCTCATTTAATCCTCACAAACGTCTGTTTGGAAGATCAGGAAACTCAGGTTCAGTTGGTGAAGTAATCCGCCCAAAGTCAGACAACCTGAAGAACGGCAGACCCAGGACCCCGCCCAAACTGTACGAGTGTGAAGCCCACACCCCTGACTCCAAACCATCATTTGATGAAGGAATGAATGAACAGATACCTATTTTCAGAAATGATTATTCTAGAGTCCTCTCCTTTTCAGTTCCAAAACCTGGCTCTTGAATGGCACATGTATGGAACATACCCACTTTTTTTTAATTCAACTGATGGTTGCCCTGTCTAAAAAGTAAGAAAAAAATACACCAAAACCAACTAACTTCAGGTTGTTATGAATGTTTACTGTTTACCAGATTTTTCACATTCTCAGTAAGCACCAAAAAAAAAAAAAAAAAAACTGACGATACTGTGGAAGGAATAAGAAATTTTACAGCGTATAGTTTTCCTTAAGTTAAATGCCTCCAAATGGATATGTTATCAGTAATATGACAAACTGCAGTCTGGACAGCCTCGCGGGTAGGTTCCCCGGGTTAAGCCAACTCTCAAACAGAGTGGCGTGCAGGATATTCACTAAGGTGTGCCCTTCAGAGCCCACACCTGTAGGAGAGGGGGAGGCAGCCTGACCAGTGGAGGAAGAAGCTAAGCTGCAATGCAGCTCAAATAAAAGGCCTCGGTGGACCCGCTCGGCAGCTGGAACGTGCCATCAGGGTTGTCCCATGAGGCTGGGCCCTCACATCCTGGCAACACATGGGATGCAGACCCCTTGGGAAGGGAGCACAGCCTTGGGTGAGCTGTCTGCCAGCAGCTGTCCCTGCAAGGGAGGGAACAAGCCCTTCAGTCCTGAAGGGGGATCTGGGAGCATCACGGTCCACCACAGAGCTGTGGGCACGGAAAGGAACACGTTCTGGCAGTATACACAGAAGGGCTGGTAATGGTGGTGCCCATGGGAAGACAGGCGGGAAACACTAGGGGAAGAGCCCGGCTGTCTGTGTCCTGTTTACAGTTTCCTGTACTGTTTAAACCTGGAAAGCATTTGCTTTTACCACTGTTAACTTTTCTTCATGTGTTTAATTTTTATTTCTTTTTCCTTCATTTTTTTAAATGTCAACACAAGTCATCTGGGCAGTTGGATCATGTCATTTTTGAACACAGAAAGCTTCAAAAGAACAATAACTAACTTTGATTCTGCGTTTTATTGAAGACAGTGCTCTTGCATGTTTTTCCACTAATTTCTTCATAACTATTTACAACGATTCTAAACGGTAGGTATTATCGTCCTGGTTTTGAAGATGGGAAATTTGGTCAGAGACAGAGGCAAAAGGAGGGAGGGAGAGGTGTGGAGAGAGAAGTCAGCAGGGGGTGAGGAGGGAGTGCTGGGACAGAGGGTGAAGACGCTGGCACCTCTGGGTTGCTGACCCCACATACAACCACAGGCTTCCCTGCGTGCATTTTAAAACTTCTCTTTTAAATGGGAGTCGATCGTATATTTTTAAAACATCTATATAATATATCCACATCTTGCAGCCATTATGTTGGATTATAAATAAGGACCGTATTAATCTTGTTAACTTTTTTTTCTTTCATTCTTTACTTTAAAATTCCCCCATGGCATCATTTTTGGCATATTCCAAATTTGGGAGAAATTCAGGCCACACAGGTGGAAAAAATATGTACTCTCATTGTTTAAAAATAATTGAACAAACCCATTAATTAAAAAATATACAATGTCCCAGAATCTAGTAAAATAAGATTCCCATAATTCACAGATGACTATAAAAAAAGGGTTCTCTGCTCTGCTCCACTAAAGGGTGATATATAGAATCATAAATTCTCTCTAAAATTCATAATTCCGATAATCAACCATGGTTTCTAAAGCTGGGAAGGAAGGAAGGAGGAGGAGGAGGGAGGGAGGGAGGGAATGTCACACCATTCTCAGAAGGCTCTTGCCTCCTTCATAGAGTCCCTGTTGGACTAACACCTACAGCAAAGAGTCTGTGTGTTCCCGTCCCCTGCTCCTCTGTTACTTACTCCATCTTCCTGTTCCGCCTCTCAGATTTAAGAAAGAAAAAAAGAATCAGCCTGCAGCTTTCCAAAAGAATTTCCTTTCCTGGCCACTCTCCCCTCCAGACCTCACATGGCCTGCCTGTCCCACTTCCATGACCTGGCTTTGAGGAATCCACTGACTCACTACAAATGAGAAAATCCATCTTGCGACTTCTGGCAAGCTGAAGCATTGTGCATTTCCACTGACACAAACCGCAGACACTGGCCGGGACGGGAATGACTTTGCCCGCTGGTTGCTTTAGGGAGCTGGCAACACCAACGGCATTCAAGACACGGCGACCTCAGCCAGTGCTTACTGACGGCCTATTCCGGGCCAGCGCTCGACTGCTGTGAGCTCTCTGTAAGGCGCTGAGGTCTGAGTGCTTCCCTTTCCTCACTGATGTTAACGTTGCCTGGATATGAACTCCATCAAGTTAGATTGCCAACAAAATCTTACCGACTTTACACAAGAGCAACCAATTCACAATGCTTTACCAGTAGTTTGGTGTCTTTGATGACGCAGAGTAACTTGGTCCACTGTCCGAAGCGCTTCTTTCGCAGCAGGAAGGCACAGATCTTGGCGTCCTTCACCAGGTCCATGGAAGCCTCCTCAGAGGGCCACTGGTGTCGTGTTTTCTTCCCCTTTCCATCCTCCTCCTCTTCATCATATGATTCATAAGAGCTACTCATTGCATCTGAGTCATAATCTATCAAAAAGAAAGAAAGAAAGGCAGAGGGCCTGGTTACAAAAATCTTATCTTGACGCCTACCTGTGGGGTCAAGGGTACATTATTACATGATTCAATGAGGAAGGGGTTTCTGCACTCAGTGTGGTAGGGAAACATTAATTAGTAAAAATAGGGAAAAATAACTAAGACTTGGGCAGTGGAAACTCAACAAAATTTTTAAACTGAAGTCACTAGGAATTCTGTATTTATAAACCATTCCTAGACCGTTCAACATGGGCCGGGCACTCTGCAGACCCAACCTTGTTGAATCCTCGCCACGTTCTCGCCGGCAAACAACATCCCCCTTCTGCAGTGCGTCCCACCAGAGAGAACTCCTGCCCAGAGAGGTCCCTTGCTCTCCCATGCCCACACCTTTATGTTAAAGTCTTTCTAGTCAGCGATGTCCTTGTCCCTGCTGGCATCACCACACACACAAGCCCTTCCTAATGTTCAAGAGCCAACCCAAGGCAAGGCCATTTGTCTCCTTCGTGTCATCCTTGGGACTTTCAGAAACATTTACACCTATCTTTCTCATTCTGTGATGCATTAACACCTACATGCCAGATTATTTTTAGTTTCCCTAATATATCACATTCGCCGTTATCTCCAGGTCTTCGCACACGCTGCCCCCTCACGTAGGCCTCCTGCTCATCCCACTCTCTCCTGCCTGTGCCTGGACAAATGCTCTCATCTTTCAGGACTTCACTTATTGGCACCTCCTCCACCAAGCCCTCCTTGAATCACCAAAGCTGCCTGTGATGGACTGAGCTGTGCCCCCCCCAATTCATGTGTGGAAGTTCTACCCCAATGTGACTGTGTTTGGAGATAGGACTGTTAGGAGGTACCTACAGTCAAATGAGGTTATATGGGTGGGGTCTTGATCTGGTAGGATTGGTGGCCTTACAAGCAGAGGAAGAGAGAGAAATCGCACACTCTCTCTGCCATGTGAGGACACAGGGAGAGGGTGGGCGTCTGTAAGCCAGGAAGAGAGCCCTTACCACAACCTGACCATGCTGGCACCCTAATCTTGGATCCAGCCTCCAGAACTGTGAGAAAATAAATGTCTATTGTTTTGCAACCCAGTCTGTGGAATTTTGTTATGGCAGCCTGAGCTGACTAAGACCCTGGGTGAAATGTCCCTCCTCTGTGCTTCCACACTACTCAACGCTAAACGTATCCCATGTACTATCACTGCTGTTTGCCCGTCTGCCTCCCACACCAGACCATAAGCCCCTGAGGGAAGGGAGACCACCTTGTTGGATGTGATTGCCCCAGAACATAACTAAGTACCTGGCACAGGACAAGTGCACAAATATTTACAGAAGGAAGAACTATTAGATAAACTTAAATTATACTTACAAAGGCCTCAGAAAGATGGCTGACATATTAAAAGTGTTTAATAAATACCAGTGACTGTCAGTATTATTATTAATTTCAGCCCTGCTGGATGATAAGCTCCTTGAGGCAGTGTCTGATTCATCTCACATTCCCCTCAACCCCAGGAAACATATGGAATACATTTGCTTTTCAAAACATATTTGAGGAGTAAACACCTAAATGATGAATGAACGATAAGAAGAAACTACGGCTAAAGCAATTGGTTTCACAACTTAGCAGAAGCAGCAGAAATGGCAGACCTTATACAGAACAGAGTTCACATTTTTTTATTCACTGGAAACTGGATTATAATTTGTACTCAGTGGTCACTTTAATTTTCTCTCAGAGTCATTACTGAGGGAGGAATAGAAAGATTGGAAGTTTAAGTTGAATTTTAAACCATAAAAAGTCAAGGAACGATTTTAAGCAAGAGACTAAGGTGACTGAAGAGATAACTTTGGCAACAGCATTGAGAACAGGCTGAAGTTGGGGTGACAGAGAGATGGGGACCAGTTAAGAGGCATCTGCAATGAGGTTGATAAGTACACTGCGACTGTGCCAAGAGGAGCGTGAGGAGGGCTGGCTTGAGCGCTGGTACGGATCTTGGTTACAGATCACTGGGGAGCGCAAATGAGAGACAACAGTCCAGAGTCTCCTCTTGCGCTGCTGCACATTAACCCTTCCACCCTGCAGCCAGGCTGTGCTTGTCATCTCCACAACCTCCCCAACCCCAATGCACACATGCATGCATGCACACACCCCATTTCCAGCATCTACATCCACGCAACACTCTCGTTTAACATGGTAGCCCTGGGTGGGTATTTAATTTCAAATTCTAATTAAACAAAACGAAATATTCAGTTCCTAAGCTGCACTAACCACATTTCAAGTACTCAGTAGTTACTGGTGGCTAAGTGGATGCTGCATTGGAGAACTCAGACAAATGGCATCTCCATCATTGCAGAAGTTCTATTACACAGGGCTGGAGGTGATTAACACATACAATGCAGTGTAAGACATGCTATCAGAGAGACAGGCGGTGGAGAAGAGCATGTGTGGGACGTAGAGAAGACTAAAAAAACTTTTGACCTACATCTTTTATGAGCCATTGTCAACCAGGCAGAAAAGTCTAGAAGAAGGAAGATAATAAGCAAAAGCAATGAAAAATATCAAACATTTAAGAAACAGAGTGGATCCTTTCATTTTTCAATAGTATTTACGTGATTGCCACAGAAGCCAAGTTAGTGGCTACCTTTGAGGAGAGGGAAGTTGTGATGAGGAAGGGGCCTGCAGGGGGCTTCCGTGGCTGACAATGTTCTATTCTTCACACATGTTTCACTTTATGATAAGCCATTAAGTATATATTCATATTGTATGCACCTTTTTTTTTTTGGTGAGGAAGATTAGCCCGGAGCTAATCTGAGCTAACACCTGTTGCCAATCCTCCTTTTTGCTGAGGAAGACTGGCCCTAGCTAATATCCATGCCCATCTTCCTCTACTTTGTATGTGGGACACCTGCCACAGCACGGCTTGATAAGCAGTTCGTAGGTCCACGCCCAGGATCCGAATCCACGACCCCTGGGCTGCCGAAGTGGAGTGCGCAAACTTAACCACTACACCACCAGGTTGGCCCCCCGTATGCATTTTTTGGCAAATATATTTAACAGTAAAAGAGTTTAGCACAGCTAGAGTGTAGGTATGTGGAGGGAAGCCATGGCACATGACACTGAAAGGACAGGTGGTGGCCAGACTGTGAAAGGTCAAGTGCTGCTCTCTGGTCCAAGTAAGCGGAGACTCAAGATGGGCAATGGACAAAAGCGTATTTTTATTTTAGAAAGATTAAGTTCATGATAGCTTGGAGGACCAGGAATCTCTCAGTGCTCAGCTCAGTTTCTAGAAGATCAAGTTCAGCAAATATATAATGAACAAATGAACAAAAGCATTAATGAATAAATTGGTTATAAATGGGAGAACTACCTTTGATTTCATTCATTCATTCAACAAATATTTATTGGGGACTTACTGTGTCAAGCAATATTTTTTATACTTATATGTGTGTGCCAGGATCTGGCAATAAAGCTGTGAAAAGCTGAGGCCTGCTTCAAATTTACAAAGGGCTTTCACATCCATTGTCCTGCTGGTCCTCTCGGCCACCCAGAGATGGGCACAGAGCAGTATCTTTATTTCAGAGGAAAGGAAGAATGCTGCTGAAAGACCAAGTAACTCATCCCCGACCACATCCCTGATGAGTGACGGCCGAAACTTGACTTCAAACTGAAAAAGTATACTATGCCCCCAGCCACCTTCTTCATCCTGGGGAATGGGTTGAGATCCACAGCTGAGAAAGACAGCAAGTTCACATCCCGCCTTCTTCTGAGAGAGCAGAACTGACAGATTCATTTTTGGAAGAACATCAGCCAACTTAGCAGGCGACAGAGCAGTCAAAAGGCACAGTCTGGGCCTACAGGAAATCAGCTCTCTGAGCGGTATCTTCAGGGGTTCCCCAACAGAGAGCAGAATCCCTTATTCCTCTTTCTGTGTACTTCCTGGGGGCTCCAATAGGACTTCAAGGACCTCACTGTCTGGGGGTGGGGTTTTGGATTATGTTAAGAGATAATGAGCGCTCTGTGAAAAATTAAGAAAGACACAGAACGGGGAGGAGGGGAAAGAATCACGAAGGGCCTTCAGACCTGGCAGTAGGTGGTACAGGTGATCTCAGAGAGGGACGGAGGGCAAAGTCAGACAGGGTGTTGATTAAAAACTGGCAGCCCTTGGCACATCCTGGCATCACACACAGACGTCTACACTTCACATAGAATGAGGAGGCAGACCAAAGAGCCAGCAAGAGAACTGTGTGGATCTTTATGTTTAAATGATGTTGCTGGTTAGGAAATGCTCTTCTTCACCAGAAACTAGTCTTATGGGTAGGAATTGCTATCATCGTGCAGTTCTGATGGAACAAAAGAAGGCTCCCATAAACTATTGCAAGTTTCCCTCGCTACCCAAAAGCTCACGCTACACCACTTCACTTTTACAAAAGACCTACAGAAATGTGAAGAGGATGTTCACTTTTTCGAAAATAGCATTCAGCGTTTGTTTTGTAGCAAGCCATTATAGGGATTGTGCAGTCAAGCATACTGTCGTATTGTCGAATTTCAAGCCTTCCACAGCAGCCACAGCAGCCACGCAGATGACGACCCTTGACCTTTGACAAGGGGGCAGGCAGACACGGAAGAAGGTGCAGACATCACGGACCTGCCTGCCTCGATGGACTCAGACGATGATGAGATGTTAACAGGTGACCCTCCTCCTCTCTCCCCTCCACCCCAGTCTCCTGCACCTCCCACCACCCCAACCTGGGATGACTCAGCCTAACACCCCATCACCACCACCACCTCTCAGCCTCCAGTGTGCCTTCCAGTGTGCGTGACACTCCACTGTACATACAGTATTTCTACTTTACACAGGCTGTGTAGTTGTCATATCATTCTTGCTGTTATTCTAGGTTAGTGTGATTTTAGGGTCTATGTGTTATTTGGTATGATTTGGTAGGTTATTTTTGCTAGGAACACTCGAACATTTTTCCCATACGTATAAATTA